ATGCTATGGAACTTTTTTTTTTTCGAAAACAAAAACACCTTCACAGTAGATGGCAGAAAAATGGCAAATGTTAGAAATAACAGACTTGTTGTTACAATGTTTTTAAAATCAAATGCAGTTTTCTGCCTCCCTGGATCAACTCCAATTATATTACTAAATATTATCTTACCAGAATGTTTGAGACTTTTTCCTCGTAATGCCTCCCTCAGGATTGGTGCTAGCAAATCCATTTCTCAGAGGGACTCACTGCTACTACTTTCAAATTCTAGGGTAACCTTTTTGGTGTCTATCCTCACACTAGACCCCACTGGTGTGCTCCCTCTTAACAATCAACCAATAGGTTCAGTTCTTTAGCAAAGGGACTTAGTCAACAGATATAGCAAGAACAGTAGTTACAAAACATTTCCCCTAACAACAGGGTTGTTCACTACCTCAAATAACGCACAGAGTCAATGATGGCAGGAAGATAATGGGTATGAACTTAAAGTACAAGAGTAGCGAGGCACTTGTGTAGGAAACACACATAGCCAAGGAAATTCACACCTCCAGAACTGTTGGGCCTTCATGTCCTTTCTTTCTCTGAATGGCCCTCACTAAATTTGCTGTGGGTTATGGTGTTGGTTTATGTTTATGATCATTAGCTTATCTGACTGGCTGGTCTGGCACCTAGAAGGGTACGATATCTGCAATGGATGATAAACTGATCTGGGCTTGCTCCTTGTAGGGACTGGGAGGTGTTGACTAGATGGGCCAGTCCACTGCTAGGCTACTGGTCCAATCTGCTCTTGGTTGAGCAGATCATTTGAAGAGCCATGCATGCTCATTACCACACTTGGCAGCTGCTGGACTGAGCTGGCTAGCCAGGCAGACTGTCCTGCTACTGAACAATGTCTGCTAGGGGTAGGATGGAATAAGGTGATCCACTGGATTCCCTGCATCTTGGACAAGCTTCTTACTAGCTGTTGACTAGCCTCAGCTAGTCAACAGCATTTAGTGAGCACAAATGTAGACAGAGTATAATACTAGCAAATTCCGTATCCTTACTTTTTAAATGTAATTTCTTTTTCCCACCTACTAATTTCACATATTTTAAAAATAATTAGTTGAATATGTGTAAAGTATTTCAATTTGGGGAAAAAATCCAAATAAATAACCCATTTAAAATAAGTTTGGAAAGTCATTTTTTTTTCAGTCTGTTCCTCATCATTCTGGTACTAGGCTCAGAAGTGGGAATCATTCATTTAATCAATCAGTAAACACTTATTAAGTGCCTACTATGTGCCAGGTACTGTGCTAAATGCTAAAGATACAAAAAGAGTAAAAAGATAGCCCTTGTCCTCAAGGAGCTTATAATTTAATGGAAGAGACAACATGCAAACAAATATATGCAAAGCAAACTATATACAGGATAATTAGGATAAAACAGAGGAAAGGAAGAAAAACAAAAAGGTGGAAAGAAAAGGGTAGTGTAACCTGTTTATGATACCACCTGCACTTGAAACTATCTATCTTAAGAGTTATATACTTTTAATACCATTTGCCATCTACAGGAATAATAAATGAAAAAGCTTTAAGTACTTACTATATGCCAGGCATTGTACTAAGCACTTACTATACCAATACAAGAAAGCAAGGCATCCCTTGCCTTCAAGGAGCTTATATTCTATCAGGAAATGAAAACATACAGAGATAAGGTTGGAAATAAATAAAATAAGGTTGGAAAGAGAAGATTGATGGCTGGGAAGAGACAGAGACGTCACCAGAGATGGTATTTAAAGTCATAGGGCGAAAGACTGACATATCCTTTCTAAGAATCAATGTTGATTTCAATACTGTTCTCAGAAGTAGAGTTGAAAAACAGGGGGTGCACATTATGGAACACCAGAGTATATGAGTAGAGGCATGACTTGAAGAAAGCTGATAAGTAGCATGGTGGATGCGGATCCAGGCCAGAAATGAATGATCACCAATCAGAAGCCCAGAGTGACTTACTAATTTGCCTCCTTAATCTGGTCAACATACAAAAGGCATTCAGTTGTGGGCAGTAGTTCATATGATAAGCAGTTCTGACCCCACGTTGTTTCTGATAGTATAGTAAGAAATGATCAGTTTTCAAAAGAAGTAGAAGACAAGTCCCTGCCTTCCCTCGGGAGAGAAACATGCCTACAATTACAAAGCAATTTATGAACTAGTGCATTACCAATTCATCGAATATTTATTTATTTATTTATTGCAACTATGTAAAACATATCCATATTAGTCATTTTGTACAAGAAAACTTGAATAAAAGAAAAAGTGAAAGAAAGTGAAAAACAGCATGCTTCTATATTCAATCAATATCAGTTCTTTCTCTGGATCGTATACTTCATCATGAGTACTTTGGGATTGTCTTGGATCATTGTATTGCTGAGAATAGCTAAGTCATTCACAGTTCTTCATTGACCAATATTACTGTTACTATGTACAACGTTCCCCTGGTTCTGTTCACTTCACTTTGCATCAGTTCATGCAAGTCTTTCCAGGTTTTTCTGAAATCGTCCTGCTTGCCATTACTTACAGCACAAAAATATTCCATTACAATCATATACCACAGCTTGTTTAGCCATTCCCCAATTGATGGGTATCCCTTTGATTTTCATGGAATATTTATTAAATGCTTACTCTATGTAAGGTATCTTGCTAGGTTCTGTCCATGCAACAACAAAACTCAGAGTGCCTGCTCACAAAATGATAATATGATGCAAATTGTATCCATGACAATTGAGGAAGTATAGGATAAGGAAGTGATAGTAATTAAAACCATATTCAGCAAGGACTTGCTTCTTGGCAGAAATGGTTCGGATAATATAAGGAACTTTCTTAAGAGAAAAATTTAGATCCTAGAGCTTCTGCTTAAAGGTTACTATTGGAACACATCTCTACATTTCATAGGCTATTCACACACATGACCTAGTTTTCCTTGATTGTTTTCAGTAGCTTTAAAAACAACAACAAACTTTTACTGATGCTTTAATGTTATACTCATTTTCAAAGGAGGTAGGTTGGAATGGTGGATAGAGTTGATCTGTGAGCCAGGAAGATTTGGGTTCAATACTGTTCTCTGGACATATATTGGCTGTGTGACCCTGGACAGGTCCCTTAATCTCTTAATTCTCCAGGAAACTCTCTAACACTACTTAGATGGAGTATTCTCTGGCACTTAAACCTCCTCCTCAGGGTTCTAGGGGTACCCCTCCCCTGAAGAGACTGAGGCATCACCATTGGCTTGAGCCCTAATTCCTGTGTGTTCCCTTCACTGTTAACTACCAGTGACTAGCCTGCAGTTCCATTTAACCAATTAACATCAATTAGTTTTTACAAAGCTATATTTACTTAGAAGACATAGTAAGGACAGAAGTACTAATATTTCCCCCCACACCTCAGGAGCACCCTATCCCCTATGCCACTAACTCAGTCTCTGGGGAAAGTAGGTTCAGACTTATCATAGTCTCCACTTAATTTTAGTCTCATCAACTTCCCATCCAAATGTGGCATTATTTTATTTATTGATCCTTGGGGAATCAGTGCTGGGCTGGCTGCAAAACCTGGCATGGGCTCAGCTCCTGGACTTCCAGACTCCTAGGTGGTTCACTTCGATAACCTTTCAAAACTCACCAGGTTGTAACCTCCAGATTAATTTTCCTTACCTAAACTGGGAGCACAAACACCAAGGCCCATTTCATGGGACCACATGTTGGCCTCGGATGGGAAAAGGGCCCAAAGTCTCTCCCAGATGGGTATTGTCTCTCATAGGATGCTGGCATTGAAGTAGTCAAATAAAGAGAAGAGGTCCTAGTGAGAGACTGGTCAAGACCAGCTTTGGAAAGTTCCAGTTCTGTAACTTCAGTCAATCAAAGACTGTCATTCACCAGACCAGAACCAGTTACAGACTATCTGGGGGTGATCAGACCAATATCTACGGGGGTCCTCCCCTACTTTTCTCCTAAAATTGGCCTGGAGGTGGGGTAAAGATCAATTTGTGTGCCCCAGGAAGCAGCTTCCCTGGCCATACTTACATGACTTCTTGGTCACCTTAAGGCATAAAAAAGGCCCACTCACATGGGGTCAGGGGCCTTTAGACTTGGTGGATGTCCCAAGACCCAAAACCGGTCACCACACCCTTCCCTGCTGACCATACACATTTCCATATGTAGAAGATGGGGAATGACAGAAGCAAAAGTACAAATATCACAACAGTCACGTTAATCTTTGTGTTAGCAAAGACCTGGAAATAAAGGGGGTGCCTATTGTTTGGAAATAGTTGACCCCCCCCAAAACCCCAAAACTATGGTATATGAATGGAATGTAATAGTATTGTGGAACAATAAACAATAAATATGAAGAATTCAGAGAAGCATGGACAGATGTGTATGAGCCCATGCAGAACCAAGAGAACGATATAACCAATGACAAGTGAATGAAAAGTCACTAAAGGACGGTCAGATTCTGAGTAATTTAAAAAAAAAAAGGAAAAGCAATCAAAGTCCCTCGTAACAGATTATCTCCCCCTCACAGAAAGGCAGCACTATTAGGACCAAATACACAGGCAGATCGGGTCACAGGTGCAGATATTTTGGGCGATGATGTTTGAGTGATGTTCTCTCTGTCTCTGTCTGTGTCTCTCTTTCTCTGGTCACAATGGAGGTTTGGAAGGAGTGGTGCAAGGAAATGTGATGTAAAAAAAAGTTACAATAAATTTCCTTCTTTTGAAAGAAATAGGATTTGTCTAGAGCGTTTCTAAAGTTGAGGATTTTGATCCCTGGGTGCAAGGCTTTAGCTTCCTAAGGGGAGCTGAGGAACGCGGGACCAAGCTGAAGGGACAAGAGGGGGTGGTAAAGAATTTTGCAAATAAATTTGTAAGTAAAACAAATTGTAAATATAATAGGTCTGCAAAATACAAAACATCTTTAAAGGTACGAATAAAAAGACAACGGGCACAAACCCCGCAACTACAGGGGTACACGAGGGTTCCGAGTCAGTTTCTGAGTGCAATACTGGGTTGTAGGAAAGATAATGCAGCAGTTAGGTTCGCCCCAGGCCGGCCACTGCACCCAATGAGCATTTTTCTCTCCTACCCTTCCCCACTCCCCTTGGAAACCGAAAGCGAAATCCTGGCTCACTCTTTCGGTCATCGCTTGCTTTGGCCTGGCGGGGGCCGGGGAAAGCCGGATTGGTGGCCGGGGGACTGGCTGCACCCGGACGCTGGGAAGCCCAGGCCAGCATGGAGGGGCCGCCGGCGCCCGGGAACGGGGACATCTCGCTGCACAACTTCAGCGTGAGGCTGTGGGAGCAGCTCGTCCACTTCCACGTGATGCGGCTGACGGATTCGCTCTTCCTGTGGGTGGGCGCGACGCCCAACCTGCGCAACCTCGCCGTGGCCATGTGCAACCGTTACGTGAGTCGCCGGCACGGACGCGGGCGCGGGCACGGGCGCGGGCGGAGTTTCTGGGCTTAGTAGAACGCGGCCCGGGACTGGAACGCGGGGGTGGAGCGAGCTCCCGCTAGGGCTGGGCGCGCACCTAGCGCTGCTGAGGGTGCATGGGGGTGGACCTTCCCTTTCCTTGGGTGGGTGAGAAGTGGGATTTGCACGAGCCGAGCTTGGGCGCGGGGCAGTTTGGAGAACGTACACATCCAGGTGGATGCTGTTCCTAGAAGGCTGGTTGGGCTCCTGTGCAAACTTGTCTTTTATTTCTTTCTGAATCTCCAACCCCACTTCATCCCATTGCCTTTTTTTTTCCTGCCCTTCTCCGACATCCCTAGGGATATGAAGGGGGGTAGGAGGATGCTGGCTGTAGCATAAATAAGATTGCTCACCTGTGATGGTTTCTCTAATGCTAAGCATGCAGGTCATGGGGGGTAAGGAGGAGATTAGCCACGTTTAGTTATGCATTTCCCTAGTGGGGACCCCCATCTTCCCTAGGGAGGTCCCATTTTACAACATATATTGACATTATAAATACCTTTTTTATTGAAAGTTTTTATATCACCTTCACATCTCTCACCTCTTCCCTACTAAGAGCCATACTTTATGACAAAGAATTTTTTTTTAAAAAGGAAAAATAAACAGTATGGCAAAAATAATCAACATATCAGTTATGTTTGACAGTATGCAATGTTTCACATTCGTAGTTAAACCTCTGAAAAAAAGAGAGGCAGGTATGTTCTCATATCTCATCTTGGAGCTAAGCTTCATTATTATAATTATACAGCTTTCAGTTTTGATTTTTTCTTGTGGTTATCGGTTCCACTTACATTGTTGTAGTCATTGTTTATATTTTGTGACTTTTGGATCACATCTTGTAAGTTTTCCCATGTCTCTCCACCTTCTTCATATTCAGCATTTGTTATCAGTTCAGTAACGTGTCACCACGTTCAGGTTACAGGGTTTGTTTACCTATTCTCCAAGCAATGAACATCTACTTTGTTTCCGGTTTGCTATCAATACCATGGTGTATGTCTTTTTCCTCCTTTCATGTATTCCTTCTACCAGTGGGATCTTGGGCTGCAAGGTGACTGGGGCTTGGGGTCAGGAAAACATGACTTCAAATCTGGCCTCAGACACTTACTAGCTGTGTGACCCTGGGCAAGTCACTTAACCCTGTTTGCCTCAGTTTCCTCATCAGTGAGATGAACTGGAGAAGGAAATGGAAAACCACTCCAGTATCTTTGCCAAGAGAACCCAAAATGGGGGTCATGGAAGAATCTGACGTGAGATCTTTGGGTCAGGGTCCGCCTCTTTTTTCAGTAAAGTCAGTTCATCCTCCTAACTTTTTATGACCTACTTCTACCTTAGCTTCATTTTTAACAACATCCATTGATGTCCTAATTAATGATCTTCAAACTCTGAAATTCTTCCCAGTATCTTCACCTTCTGTCTTTTCTTCTCTCCCTCTGTTCTCACTCCTAGTTTCTTTTCTTTTTAAATTTTATTATTAATTAATTTAGTTTTGGTTTTCAATAATCACTTCCATAAGCTTTTGAGTTTTAAATTTTTCTTCCCCTCCTTCCCCACCTCCCTCCCCAAGATGGCGCACAATCTAATATAGGCTGTACATATACATTCCTGTTAAACATATTTTCACATTAGTCATGTTGTAAGGAAAAATTAGAACCAATAGGAGGAACCACAAGAAAGAAGAAACAAAACAAAACAGAAGAAAAAAAAAGCAAATAGCATGCTTTGATCTGCATTCAAACTCCATAGTTCTGTCTCTGGATATGGATAGCATTTTCCATCATGAGACTTTTGGAGATGTCTTAGATTCTTGCATTGTTGAAAAGAGCCAAGTCTATCAAAGTCAGTCATAGCACAGTATGGCTGTTACTGTGCACAACGTTGTCCTGGTTCTGCTCATTTCACTCAGCATCAGTCCATATAAGTCCTTCCAGGTTTTTCTGAAGTCTGCCTGCTCATCATTTCTTACAGCACAATAGTATTCCATTGCAATCATATACCACAACTTGTTCAGCCATTCCCCAATTGATGGGCATCCCCTCAATTTCAAATTCTTTGCCACCACAAAAAGAGCTGCTATAAATATTTTTGTACACGTGGATCCCTTCCCCATTTTTGTGATTCATTGTTTTCTCTATTAGAAGGTAAGCTCCTTGAGGGCAGATACTTTTTTTTTTGTTCATTTGTTTTTGCTTTTCTCTGTATCCCCAGTGCTAAACACAATGTTTGGCACTTTTTTGTTGTTGTTGAGTCCGTTTTCAGTCATGTCCGACTCTTCATGACCCTGTTTGGGGTTTTCTTGTCAAAGATACTAGAGTTGTTTGCCATTTCTTTCTCTAGGTCATTTTACAGATGTGGAAACTGAGGCAGACAGGGTTAGTGACTTGCCCAGGGTCACACAGCTAGCAAGAATCTGAGACCAGATTTGAACTCAGGAAGATGACTCTTCCTGACTTTAGGATCAGCACTGTATCCATTGTGCCCCCTAGTGCCCTCTCCCCCACTTTATTTGGTGCATAATAAGCACTTAATGCTTGTTGACTGATGGCCCCATCTCACTCTATTTTGCTTTCTCTCTCCTTCCCCCTCTCTCCACATATGTGTGTATACCTATATATAGATGAATCTATCTATTTATTTGAATCTATATATAGATGCACACATGTATACACACACACATATATACACATGTGTACATATACTGTGAACAGGATTTTACTGAGCTAGTCTCCAATCTGAGAATGGTTGGAGCCGCACAAAGCAGACTTAGACATGGAAGTGTCAGTAATCAAGTAGTTTAATTAATCAGTTTCAGAGTGAGGAATGTTCTTTTAGCTAAAGGAAAAGCACAGGTTATATACTTAAATCTCAACTGGGGAAGGTGTATTACAAACAATTATTTAGTGGTCTCCCATGAGAAACCCGTAAATCCCACAATGCAACAATTCTGGAGCCAAGTCTTTGGGGGTTGTGGCCACCTCCCCTAACGTACAGAACCAGAGCTCGGTAATGGGAACAGATTCTACAATTTTTGATTCCATTTAATTAAGGTCCAGTGATTGTGAGCGTTGTCAGAGTTTTGATTAATCAGTTTAAGCTGCATTGTGAGCTCTGACTCCTGAGCTAGAGAGACAGCTCTTGAGAAAACTAAGTTATTAGTATATTCATTACACATATCATATCGATTAATATGAAAATTATAAATTCTCTTCTCAATATATACACATAGATGCACATACACATATGCATAGACTGATAGACTAACTGACTGCCCCATGTCCATGCTTAGGCTCATCTTGTGTCTTGTTTAGTTCCTCCAGTGATCTTCCTGTGACGTAGCCCTGTTCACCATTATGCTCACCCTCCTGTGGATATAATTCAATCTGTCATTGTCTGTCTTAAAATGAGGTAACCAGTCTCTTGTACACAGTCCTTGAGATATTGTGTGACTAGTGTGTAGTGCACAAAGGACTGTCAGCTCCTTGAGCTAGCCTTTACCCAGGCCATTCGGTAAAAATGCTGAACAGAACGGGGCCAAGGGTTCAGTCTGTTAGGGACCTTCTCCCAGGTTGACGTCGATCTAGTAATCACTCTTTAACCTAGTACAGGGTGGGGAACCTGTGGACTTCAGGCCACATGTGGCCCTCTAGGTCCTCAAGTGTGGCCCTTTGACTGAATCCAAACTTCACAGAACAAATCCCCTTAATAAAAGGTTTCGTTTTGTAAAACTTGGACTTAGTCAAAAGGCTGCACCTGAGGACCTAGAAAGCTGCATATGGCCTTGAGGCTGCAGGTTCTCCACCTCTGGCCTAGTATATTCAACCAGTTAACAGTCTACCCACCTTGTACTACTATCTAGCATCTTGTCTCCACCCATATTAGGGAGGGGGACTTTGTTACATGCTCTGTTGAAATCCAGGAATATTATATCTATGGCATTCCCCACATCTGCCAATCCTGTTAAAAAAGAAAATGAGGTCAGCATGATACAATTCATTACTTAGCCCAGGTCTTAGTACGTTGTAGACACTTAATGTTTATTGAATTGAAATTTAATAACTTGGAATTTAAAGAAATATGGGAAGACTTACATGAACAGATGCAGAGTGATATAAGCCAAACCAGGAAAATAACACACAAGGACTATGACAATGTAAATGGAAAGAACTGTAAAATGAGATTGAATGCTGTATAATTTTAATGACTAATTTTCATCCTGAGAAAATTTACCTCTGTCCCTTTATTGGGGAAGTGAGGACTTCCAGATCTGGAATATTACAGATCTCATCAGATTTGGTCAGTGTATTTGTGATGTTGGTTGGTTGGTTGGTAGGTTATCCTTCCTTTCTCGAAGAGGCCCAAAATGCTATCACTATGCACGAGTCAAGTTACAGTGCATCCGACTGTAGCTGATCAGACCAATACAAGCTCGGGATGTTGTACCACAGGTCGGCCACAAATAGTCCATGTGAACATTTGGGGTGGATTCTCTAGATTTTCGCATCATGAGTTTCTTCTAAGCTATTTCAATTCTGCTTTGCTCATAGAGCACCATACCTTTTCTGAGGAGAGCATGTGGGCAGTCCTGTGCCAGTGTCTGCCATGTCACACAATCAATCCCAAAGTTCTTAGGAGAGACCTTGAGAGTGTCCTTGTATCGCTTTTTCTGATCACCATGTGAACGCTTGCCCTGTTTGAGTTCTCCATAAAACAGTCTTTTTGGCAAGCGTACATTTTGCATTCAAACAGCATGGCCAGCCCATCGCAGTTGCTCTTTCTGAAGTAGAGTTTGAATGCTTGGCAGTTTAGTTCAAGAAAGGACCTCAGTGTCTGGTATCTTATCCTGCCAGGTGATCTTCAGAATCTTCCTAAGACAATTCAAATAGAAGCGATTTAGTTTCCTGGCATGGCGCTGGTATACTGTCCAGGTTTCATAGGCATACAACAATGAGGTCAGCACAATGGCTCAGTAGACCTTCAGTTTGATAGACAGTCTAATACCTCTTCTCTCCCATATTGTACGTCAGTTTCATGACTGCATGCTTGCCTGGATTCTGGATAACAGACAATGCTCTTTTGCTTTCCCAATCACCAGTGGAGTGAAACAAGGCTGTGTGCTTGCTCCCACATTTTTTAACATGATGTTTTCACCCGTGTTGTCAAATGCCTTCAATGACGACGTCAGCTACTGCACTGTTGGTAAATTCTTCAACTTGAAAAGGCCACAAGCCAAGAGCAAAGTGGAGGGAGTGTTGGTGTGGGATTTTCTGTTTGCAAATGATTGTGCACTCAATGCAGCCTCTGAAGCTGAGATGCAACAAAGTATGGCTCGATTTTCTGCTGCTTGTGCTAATTTTGACCTAACAATCAGTACCAAGAAAACAGAGGTGCTCCATCTGCCACCGCCACACTATCCGTACATGGAACCACTGTTTACAGCAAATAGAGAAGTTTTGAGTGCTGTGGATAAGTTCACTCATAAGTAGTGTACTCTCCAGGGATGTACACATTGATAATGAGGTTGACACACTCATTTCCAGAGCTAGCTCAGTGTTTGGGAGGCTCCAAAGGAAAGTATGGGAGAGAAGATTTATGATGTATAAAAAGTACGGGAGACATAGTTTCTGGGTAATTAATAATTTTATTAATTATGCTAGCAGGTAACTAATAAAAGGGGTCAGTGGCAAGACCCCTCATGGAACCTGCTCAACGCTTATATGCCCTTGGAAGAGTGAGTGTTCCTGAGGGTGGCAGTCAACTCTGATTGGTAACAGTTAATGAGAAGAATTTTATGAGAGGTGGACCCATTCTAATGAGGGGCTGCTTTCTGAGCATTTGCAAGCCATCTTTTTAACAGTCTTCTAGTGAAAACAGCCTTTAGTGAAGTTGGTCAGCTTATGAATTAGTGCTGATGTTTTTTATTTTTTTAATTAAAAATTTTTTTTTGGTGAACCCCTTAATGAGGAAGTGAGAATATGTCACATTTCCTATCCAAATTTCTTTTTTAAAAAAATTATTGATTCCTTTTGTCTTTAAATCAGTCATTTTGATACCTCTTTTCCTTCACTGAATCTATACTTGTGACATAGAAAACTGTTAAGTAAAAAGATTCAATGTAGTGATGGCATTTGATTATGTATATGTGTGTGTGTATATATATATATGTATATATATATATATATATATATATACACATACACACACACACACACACACACACACACACACAGTATTTTGGCCATGTGGTCCCTAACTATCCTTTGTGAGTTTTTCAGATTTCTTTTAGTGACCTTTTAATTTTCTAAAATAAGTGTTAATTGATGTCTTTCTTTTATATCACCATCATTTCCTCTATTATCTTCCTTTCCCAGAGAGCCATCCCATATAACAAATGATATTTTTTAAAGACACCCCCTCTAAAAAAAAAGACAAAATCAGTATCATTGATCAGTACCTCCAAAAAAGTCTGAAAGTACATGCAATGTCCAGTACTTGTAAACCTCCTACCTCTGCAAAGAGAGGCAAATAAAGTAACTTTTCATGTCTTCTTTTGAGCCATGCTTGGTCTTTAGAATTTTGCAACATTTACTTTTAAAAAATTTTTTTTTATTTAATTTTTTTTTTCCTTTTTGGCTAGGCAATGGGGTTAAATGACTTGCCTAGGGTCACACAGCTAGTAAGTGTTATGTGTCAGAGTCCAGATTTGAACTCAGGTTCTCCTGAGCTCTATCCACTGTACCACCTAGCTGCCCCCAACATTTACTTTTTACTTTTCATATGTATATGGTTTTTCTACACTGTTTTTTCCATTTTATTTTCACGTGTATTATTTTCTTGGCTCTGCTTACTTCACTCTGTATCAGTCCATGCTTCTCTGTTTTCACTCCATATATCACTCCTTAGAAAACAGGAACATTCCATTACATTCATGTACCACAGTTTGTTTAGCCATTCCCCATAGATGGGCATCCACTTGGTTTTCAGTTTTTTGCTATCCCAAAAAGTGCTGCTATACATCATTTGTTACACATGGGACTTTCTTCTTATCAATACCCTCCCTGGGGAATAAGCCTGGTAATTTCTGATTCAAAGGGTATGGACATTTTAGTCACTTTATTTGATTCCAAATTGGTTATACTGATGCACAGTTCCATCAACAGTGTACCAGGGTGTGGATCTTCCTACAAGAAAACAGCTAGAAACATCTAGAAAGCTCAATCAGCTAGATAACTCAAAGTTATAGAATGCTGTGCCTGGAGTCAGACTTGAGTTCAGATTAGGCCTCTGACACTTGCTAGCTGTGTGACCCTGGGCAGGTCATTTAACTTCTGTTTGCCTCAATTTCCTCAGCTGTAAAATGGGAATAATAATAGCACCTACCTCCCAGGGCTGTTGTGAGGATCAAATGAGGTATTTGTAAAGAGTCTAGCTTTGACCAGCACATAGTAGGTATTTTACCGGTGCTTGTCTCCTTCCTTCCTACAACCCCTTCAACATTGCAACACTCAGTTTGTCATGTGTGAAGTGAAACCTCAGTTGTTTTGGTTTGCATTTCTCTTATTACTGGTGATTTGGAATATTCTCTCATGTGGTTGTGAATACTTTGCAATTCTTTTGAGAACTGTTTGGTCATTTCCTTTGACTGCTTATCAATTGGGGAAATGGCTTTTGGTCTTTTTTATGTCTATATCAATATCATCTATATAGCTACATCATTTATATCTGTATCTGTATCATCTATTTTTATCTCTGTATCAGTAATTGTTTGTATATCTTACAGGCTAAACCCCTACTAGAGAAATTTGATACAAAGATTCCCCCCCATCTGACTGCTTCCTTTCTTATCCTAAGTGCATTATTAATCTTGCCTTTTATGATATTTTCCTCATTAACCGTGTAGAACATAGTAGAGTCATTGGAGGGAAAGCAGCTGGTTTGTTCTAGGTGTCGTTGAGGAGGTAAGGTGTCCTGGCTCCCAGGATGCCAGTGCTGGTTGAGAAGTGGTAGTCCATGCTCAGACCCTAGAATTCCCCTCTTTACTTGGTGTTACATCTGCTGCAGGGCAAGAGGAAGTGTTGACCTTCAACATGTGTTAGATATTATCCTAACATGATAACATGAGTTCTAGCACCTGGGTATCAACTTCAGCAGATCTGTGCTTAGAGAGCTTTAGCACTTACCTTGTAAATAGCAGATGCTACATTAAGGCATCTGAAGGATTATACAAACCTTACCTCTCTCCTGCCTTAGTAGGCATGTAGGGGAGGTAAGGTGGTTTAGTGGATAGAGGGCAGGGCTTGAAGTCAGGAGGACTCATCATCCTGTGTTCAAATCCAGCCTCAGACACTTACTAGCAATGTGACCCTGAGCAAGTCACTTCACCCTGTTTCCTCAGGGTGAAATGACCTGGAGAAGGAAATGGCAAACCCCAAGAAAACCCCAAATGTGAGGTTATTAAGAGTCAGACATGACTGGAAACAACTGAACAAAAATATGTGTAGGGATTTAACACTACCATTCTGTCACCAATCAACCTGGCAGGCAACCAACCCAACCCAACTGAGAAAATGCTGGCTATTGAGATGTGGGTAATCTTATTCTTGGCTAGAGTAACAGTAATTCATTCTTTGCTTTGCTCTCAGGACTCCATTCCAGTGTCCACTTCCCTTCTTGGAGATACCTCTGACACGACCTCCAACTGTCTTGCTCAGCGATTAGGTATGTACATGAGATCTCATTTTACACAGTAGATCTGATGCTCGAAAGTCTTTTGTAAGTTCACTTAAAGACACAGAGAGCTCACTCTTTAAAGGAATGCTGAAATGCCTTACTTTGTAGAGCATATTTTCCTGTAAGGGAAATTAATTATCTGATATGGCTTCTGTGGAAGTACAGATTTTTGTCCAGTGCATTTTCTTGATGCTCATTCTGCTCATGGAATGATTTGTCTGCCACAAATACCCTTTTGTTTCAGGGCCAGCGTTTTCTCAGTTGGGTTGGGTTGGTTGCCTGCCAGGTTGATTGGTGACAGATTTATTAAGCTTCACTCCTGAAAGTATCTCATCTCTTTAGACCTTGGCTGAAGCTCTGGAAACATGAAACCACGAAGTGTTAGAACTAGAAGAGATATTAGAAACTGTCCAGTCTAACTCTCTTACTTATCAGAAATTGAAGCGAAGAGAGGTTAGGGGACTTGCCTTGGGTCATGAAGCTAGGCATGGCAAAGCTGAGACTAGAATCAAGTTCTCCTGACTCATGATTCAGCGTTCTTTCTACTTCATAAGAAGTAGGTGAATGAAGCCTAATGTGACATATGAAAAGTTTGAGAGACATAATTTTTGGGTTATTAATCTTTTTATTAATTAGGGCTAGCACATAATTAATAAAATGATGGTCATTTGGTATTTCCAACAGGTGGGAATTAACTCTGATTGGTTCACAATTAATGAGAGAACGAATGTTATAATGAGAGGTGGGTCTATTCTAATGAGGGCTGGGTACAGGACTCTGATCCCATCACTCATGGACAAAGAGAGACTCATCTCAAGCCAGGCTACTCCTGAGCTTCAGGCAGTCTGTACAAAAGGATGTCTCCTCCACCCAGCCAGTGAACAGTGAACATGGTGGCTAAGAATTCCACCTGGATTGAATTCTCCTTGTAAGGGCTTCTACTTGGGTGGGGATTGGCCAATCTCATCTATCAGCAATGTCCTTCACAAGGATTGGCTGAATTACTTATGGGGGTTTATTTCTGAGTGAGGAAACTGGAAGGGACAATCTTCATCTCAATTAATAATTGGTTATTTATATAAGAGAAATATTTCTTTCTCTTGGAGATAGAGTTATGGTGTAAGTTTAACGTCTGAGTCTCCAAGCAAAATTCATTCTCCTTCCCCCAGCCCATTGGCCCCAGAAATGCCATACACATTGACGCATACCCTAGATCAGAATGCCAAACTCAAATGGAAATGAGGGCCACTAAGCCATATGTAAAGATCCCTATGGGCATGTATTGTATTGACTTAGAAAACTACATATTAACTTCATCTATTTTTTATTGAAATTTTATTTATTTTGTTAAATATTTCCCAATTACATTTTAATCTAGTTCAGGGAGCACTTGTCAGTGTTGCAAGCGGTCATGTGGGGGCTGTGGGGTTTGTGTGTTTGTGGTATGTTTGACACCTCTGCCCTCGACCCTTTATCGGGGTCTTCAGGGTATTTGGGACATTAGACACACCTGTGAGAATGAAAAAGCAACTTTGTTTGACCCTTCCTGTGATGTTAAAATGAACTCGGAAAGTCCACAGCGACTTGGCTTATATAAATCAAAGTGTAGCAGACAATTATTTCCCTCAAATATCCTGGTAATTCAGGCAAGACCAAAATGGAGGGCAGAGATTTTTCTTTTTATCTTTATAGGTGCTTAATAAATGTTTGAATTGAAAGTGACCCTGCTTAGGTAATGGGAAGGCAAGGCTGGCCTAGAGAAGAATCAGGGAGGTAATGGGTTAAGGCACAGTAAAGGTAATCTTAATTTCTTGAGGACCTTTAAGTTTGAAAAAAGGAATTGATATCTTACTGAATAGCCTAAGACAAAAATATTCAGAGGAAGTAGTCTCAAACTTTATTTAGTGTGTCTAGAATACTGCCCATGAATTACTGCAAATTCTGACTTAGTGCAATCTTTATTTGTTTTGTTGCTGGTCAGTCGTTTTAGTCCTGTCCAACTCTTCATGATCCCTTCTGGGTTTTTTGGGCAATGATACTAGAGTGGTTCTTTTTTATAAATGAGGAAACTGAGGTAAAAAGGGATGTCCAGGGTAACACAGCTAGTTAGTGTCTGAGGCCAGATTCTAGTTCTCATACTGTCCTGATTAAATGAATGAAAAAAACATTATCATTCACTTACTGTATGTCAGGCACTGTGTTAAATGCTAGGAATACACATCCAAAAGATAAATGGTCCCTGTGCTTAGGGCAATTATATTCTTACCTAACACAACCCATAGAGGGGAGGATTGGCCAGAGCAGGGTATTTTGGGCTGGGAAGCCACAATGATGAGTGAAGCAGTAGGCCAATCAATTGACTTGCCTTTTGCAGAAACACTCATAGTATTGATTTGATGATAGTTTCCAGGGCAAGAAGTGTACATTACACATTTAGTGGCATAGAATGAAGAAGTCTAGAAAAGCATGGGTTGGGTTGTTGGGGTAGGCCTAACTATGGTAAACCTTCATAAATTATAGTATCCAGAAGCTTTGTGGCACAATGGATAGAGCACTAGGCCTGGAGTCAGGAAGACTCCTCTTTCTGGGTTCAAATCCAGCCTCAGACGCTGTTACTAGTTGTGTGACCCTGGGCAAGTCACTTAACCCTGTTGGCCTCAGTTTTCTCATCTGTAAAAAGAGCTGGAGAAGGAAATGGCAAACCACTCTAGTATCTTTGCCAAGAAAACCCCAAATGGGGTCACAGATAGTCAGACACAACTGAAAAAAAAATGAATGTAAAATAAAGAAATAGAAGAGTGGCAGGTACAAACCACTCTAGTTACAGAGTCAGACTAAGATGACTGAATAACTTCCTTAATGTCCTATCTTGTAGTCATGCTTAAATTTTTTGAACCTAACTGCTTTGCATTTAACTTTACATTTGTCCTTATTACATTTCATCTCATCATACTTGAGCCCTCATTCTTAGCTTGTAGAGATCTTTATGGATTTTAATTCTGTCATCCTGTGTATTAGGTATCTCCTCTCAGCTTTTTATTACTCAAGAATTTGATAAATATTTCATTATGCCACAATGATGATGATAACCATTCATGTATGTAGTGCCTTAATTTTTGCAAAACACTTTCCTTAAACCCTGTGAGGTACGGGTATTGTTATCCTCATTTTACAAATGAGGAAACTGAGACTCTGGAGATTAAGTGACTTGATTGTAGGCAAATTAATAAGTACCCAAGTTATTGATAAAACTTTTAAATAGAACAGAGCTAAGGGTCGTGTCTTGTTTTGTGCCATTAGAGACCCATCTCTGGGTTGGCGTTCTGTTAATTCATGCATTTGGGGGTTAAGGACTCACTCGTTACAAATCTATGTAACTGTACTAAGATGCAGTTCATACCTCCGCTACATAAGAATATCTTGCAAGAGACATTGTCAAATGTCTTACTGAAATTAAAATACATTCTGTCATTGGTGTTACCCTCATTGGCCAGTATGAGAACTCTTGTTCTCATAACATTGGAGGTCAGTCTGGCCTGACTTCATCACTTGTCATCTAGTGATGACTGCTTTGTATTTGAAATGCTCATCTACCATCCCTGTAATAATTCCTTTTAGGACTCTGCTGGAGATCCCTAACAGCTTTTTTGCCTTAGTAAACATATCCCTCCTTTTGGTGACTTTTGTGGAAGGGGTCACAAAGAGTAGGCTTCCTGGCTCATGGTCTTCTCAGAAGCCTCTGGGGACCCATAACCAGCTTCCTAATCTCTCATTTCCAGAACCTGTCTCATTCCACTTTTTGAAAATCAGGAAATTGGCCTGAATCTAGTCTACAGGCAGTGCTCCCATTCTGCATGATCACACATTGATCACCAGCTGTGATTTGGAAGTTTGTGCTGCAAAACCTTCTTCTACCCTGGGGTGTCAGGATCCTGGGCCAGAATTTAGAGCAGCACGGATGTCTCTTACTTTTTACTCTTTGTATGGCTAGAGTTGTACCTTTGATCTTGGTTTAGCAATTCATTTGAATTCGGTAGACATCTAGTAAGCACCTGCTGTGTGAAAGGCATCCTGGGTTAGACCCTGGGAATATAAAAAGACAGAAGTCAACTTTGTTCCTCGATGGGCATTCAAGGAGACTTTCACCTATTGTGGGATTAATTTTCCACTTAGCCATGTTTATTCCTCCTCATCTAGTCTAAAGATTAGTGTTTATAAGGTGATTTTTCTCCAAAATGTTTTTGTGAAGCTATTGTTGACAGGCAAGGTGTGGAAGCTGGGCTGTTTTTCTTGAAGTGGGTGAAAGACACTTGGAGGAAAAACTCTTGGTTTTTTTTTTTTTTTTAAATTTCCTCATTCCAAAATGAATTCTTCTGAAGCATTGGATTATGTGACCACAGAGTTCTCTTCTCCCCTTGCTGCCTTTTTGTCTACACAGTGTATTTATTAAGTAGAGGAGAAAGCTAAAAATAAGGTGATTGAACAGCTAAGATGCAAAGGCTGAAACTGGCTGAGCCCTTGGGGATGTTGTAGACGATTCTTGTTCAGGCATGGAGTGCGCTAGGTAATCCCTTACGACACTGGGCATTGTCTGACTTCTGCCACAGCCAGTGGGCAGGTAGGTGCGCTGGTCAGCACTTGTCTCTTTAGTAAATCAAGCGCTGTTTCCTTTTAGTGCTAATGAACAGTTTTCATCATTTTCCCTTTAGCAACTTACTGTGGGGGGCACTGTCTGGCACTGTACAGAGCTCTCTGACTGTATAAATCTGGCCTCTGATGAATAGCAGTTTAGAACCCAAGACAGGAGCACTGAAGTGGCCATCAGACCAACATATGAATGGAAAATAAGGTACACATCATGTACAGAGGGCAGCTAAGTGGTACAGTGGATCTCTATCCACTGGACCTGGAGTCAGGAAGACCTGAGTTCAAATCCAGCCTCAGATACTTACTAGCCCTGTGACCCAGGGCAACTTACTTCACCCTGTTTGCCTTAGTTTCCTCATCTGTAAAATGAAAATGGCAAACTACTCCAGTATCTTTGCCAAGAAAATCCCAAATGGGGTCATGAAGAGTTGGACATGACTGAAAAATGCCTAAACAACAATAATAACAAAATCATGTACAGGTTGAGAATCTGCTTATTTTAGGACTAGAAGACAGGGTTCTTCCTGCATAACACTAGGCAGCTAGAATGTTCTTTCCCTACTCCATTCTGCCTCCAAAAATAGGTGAGACCATGAGACAAGTGGGGGGAAATTGATAGTGGTATTAACAGTTGTCAGTCTGTAATCATTTATTAAGTACCTACTAAGTGCCACTCATTTTGCTAAGCACTGGGGTTACAAAGAAAGGCAGAAGATGACCTCTGCTTTTGAGGAGTCTGAGGAGGAGGCAGAGGAGGTGACCAGCAAAGAACTATGTACAAACAAACTTATTTACAGGATAATTAGGAAATGATCAGCAGAGGGAATGCACCAGCATTAAGGGGGATCGGGAAAGGCTTCCTGTAGAAGGTGAGATTTTAGCTGGGACCTGAAGGAAGCCAGGAAATGTTGATGAGGAGGGAGGAGAGCATTCCGTGCATGGAGAATAACCAGGGAAAATGTTGGGAGAGGGAGTGTCTTGTTTGAGGAGCAGTCAGGAGGCCAGTGTCTGGATTGCCTAGTACATGTTGGGGTGTGAGGTGGAAGAATAAGAGAAAGGTGGGGCAGGGAAGGTTAGGAAGGGCTTTGATGTCTAGCCAGAGGATTTTTATTTGATTCTGGAGGCAAATTAGGGAGCCACTGGAGTTTATTCAGCAGAGGGGTGGATGGCAGTGATGTGGTCAGACCTTCAATTTATCTAAGGGAGTGTAGTAGAGAGAAGAAAATGTGAAGTTACTACTGGCCCCTGTCATTCCCCACCTTTATTTCTTATCCTAGCTTTTGCTAATCTAATTTAGATTATCTAAGTAATTGCATTTTGAAAGTAGCCATTCAGCTTGGCCAAGAATCCCCTCTCCAGAATTGCCAACAAGTGCTTGAAATTAGCCAAATTTAGGTTGTCCAGGTGATCTAAATCTTTGAGGGGTTGGTGAAGGGGTTTTCCATTACCTGGGATAGAGAAGGAGAATGTCAAAGAGAAAGCTGTGGGAGGAGTAAGTACATTCCTGCATGGGTAGGGGTGGGAGTGCACTTTTATGCATGCACATAAAGGGAGGGGACAGGATGTAGTTAGGGAATAGGTTCAAAATTTTATCTTTTTCAATGAAAAAAATTTTTTTCATCTCTTTCCCTTCTTTCCCTTCCCATGAAGGGGAAAAAAACTCCTTATTATAAAATATGCATAGTCTAGTCATGCAAGAAACATTCCCAAATTGGTCATCCTCCAAAATGTGTATCTGGTTTTACATATTGAGGCCATTATCTCTCCATCAGGAGGTGGGTAACATCTTTAGTCCTGGTTAGTCTTTGCATTGATCAGAGTTCTTAGGTCTTTCAAAGTTGTCTTTACATCATTGTATAAATTATGTTTCTTTTCACTTCATTCTGCATCAGTCTTCCCAGGTTTCTCTGAAATTGTCAATTCCAGCATTTTTTCCTGGTGTAACAGTATTCCTTTCCTTTCCTTTCCTTTCCTTTCCTTTCCTTTCCTTTCCTTT